TATGTTGATCGAAGCCCATAGTAACGTTGAATCTGTACGTCGAATTTTGCACACGTGATACGAGATACGTTGTCTGAAAATGTGAAGAGTGTCACAAGTCGTGAGACAGGTAAATACGACCTGGCATCGGGAAAAATAAGTTCTGCGACCGGATGCTGCGCACTGAGCTGTGTTTTGGGTCTGTTTTTATGCCAGCGTTCTGCGTCACCCTCCTATGGCATCCTCCTCGAGTTGAGCACCGTGAACAATGCTTTGACGTGTAGACCCGTTGTCAAGTAACAGCCAACAGTAAAACAGCTATTGCTAGGGAACGTCTCCTGGCGGTGAACAAGCTTATGACCGTTCAAATGACTAAGTATTCATTGTAGCATAAGATCTGTAAGTTAGGCATGATCTGCTCTGTAAAGCCTGTACTGACAGAGAACTAGTGTGTAAAGCAAAAGGAAGAGTTTTCGATAACATATTATATGTGCGAAATATACACTTGACGAATGGTCTAGTGTATTCATAAGAGACAGACCCATCTTCTCGTCAGAGAGGATGTTACATAAGTACTATTATTGCAAGAGTTCAGTTGGAAAAATAAATTCTGGTCGTGGGCCTCAAGGAGCTAAGGCCAAAACGAACTGATTGGCGGTAAACCGCCAGTCGTAAAGTAACTTTGACTCTGACTCTGACTCTGACTCTAACTCTGACTCTGACCGTGTATAGGTAGGGTCGAATACCTCCGTCGTGACCCAGCGAGTCGTAAGAATAGGCGACGTAAAGGGAAGTTTCAAATCTGAGACAGTAAAATATGGTTACCAGTCCCAAGGGACTCGGACCCGAAAAAGACCGTATGTCAAGGGACAGCAGCATATACAAAAGACAGACCCGTCCTCTCGTCAGAGAGGACACCCCACAAAAACAAGACCATAACTGTCAAACATAATAAGTATCTGGTCATGAACCCCAGGTGGGGCTCGACACCAAGACCGACCGTCAGTCGCAAAGTGACTTAGACTTTTGCCCCAGTCAGTTCTTTACTGGAGTCTGTGAAGCGTTCAATAAATCCTTTTACAAACCCAAACTCCGTCTGTAGTCGCTGGAACACGTGACAATAGGTGGCTGTTCAGTAAGTGTTACTTCTGTAGCCCACCACTTGACAGCAACCCGCTCCCCAGTTCTGTCAAGTCTCACAGTTTACTGTGTTGAAGAGCATTGCAGTTTTGCTGTGTTATTTTTGCAGGTGTGGGTGGACGCAGCTACGCAGGTGTTTTTCTCTCTGGGTCCTGGTTTCGGTGTTCTTCTGGCTTACGCATCTTACAACAAATACCACAATAACGTCTACAAGTAAGTGGAGGTATCCTGTGCAGGCAGGTCTGCAGGTAGGGCTGCCCACGGCGGCTCTGGGGCCTTCTCCCCCTGATCACTCAGCAGTTCCTTTGAATATATTCAGTTCATTCCCGTCCTCTGAGGTTGAATCGACTGTTCCTTTAAGCGGTCTTGCTTGTACTTCGTGAATATCGGCGTCTTTCTGAGCTCTCAGTAATGCGCAACCACCGTGAGGTGTGGGATCTGAGTTTGTCAAGGCGGACACTATGAACAGTACGGTTCTTGGGACATAACGTGTTGGGTTTCGGAGAAAACCCGACGTTTCAGAGGAATATATCGCCAGAAACTCGAGGATGGGTCGGAGAGTAAGCCAAGCAGGAAACCATCAGACAACTGATAAACTCAACTTTATTTGGTTTCTTTCTTGGATTATTGACTGCCTCTGCGGTCTAGTGGTCAGAGTTCCTGAATACAGATCCAGAGGTCCGGGTTCGATTTCAGGAGCTACCAGATTTTATGAGAAATAGTGGTTCTGGAACAGGGTCTACTCAGCCTCTTGAGGATAATTGAGCAGCTATTTCAAGGAAATAGCGGCTCAGGTCTAGAAACCCGAAATTAACGGCCATGGGGATTCGTTGCGTTGACCACGCGACACCCTCTGTCCGCTAAAATTGGCACTAACTTCGCCGACAAGCGGCGGTCGCTTGGTCGATATAGTTCCACGAAGTTTGTTGTTTTCTGTTTTTGTTCTTGGGATTATTCATCGGCGCTTGAAGATGAAAGATGTTGCTCCGAATTATATCTTATCTCTTGATGAGGCTGCCCTAACACCTGGCTCTCGGGATTAAGGAGTTGCACGTGTTGGCTCATTGCCAGCTGCATTAACTTTCTGTTAAGGAACTCAAGCCTGAAGGACTCGTCCGCGTGGAATTTGCACTACACTAAACATCAGGCCCTACGTAACTTCTCATACTTGTGTAGCTTAATTGGTTGAGGCACTATTCTACAAGCTGGAAGATCTCGGGTTCGATTCCGGATGAGGTCATTCGATTTTCAGTTGACCTAATCCTTCCAGCCGCACTATGGCCCTGGGGTCGACTCAGCCTCTAACAGAAATGAGTACCAGGAATCTTCATGGGGTTAAAGGGCAGCCGGAGTGTAAGGCTGACAACCTTACCGCCATCTGTGAGCCGATTTTCTGGAAAATGTTATAACCTCGACGTCTCAACAACCCTATATGCCTCCACGGCCTGTTACAGGAACACCTTTACATTTACCTACAACAAGAATTCTTCGTCTAAAAGTTGGAGCACCTAAAATCATAAACGATCGTTAATGTTCTTGTTTTTGAGGAAGATACTGCAGGTTGACAGGGCTCTGATGCTTTGTATTTTTATTCGGGAGGTACTAGGCTCAAATCTCGGCCGAGACACCGCCTATCCTGACTGAATTCCTTCGTGGTTTTCATCAGTCCTTCCAGGCAGATGTCAGGATGATATCTGACGCTATGTAGTCTAGTTACTGGGGTCGTCGAACCTGGATAACATGCGAGGGTTAGTGAAGTTTGCGCAGTAGCTAACAGCGGTTTCTGTTTTATTTGAAGACGCTGTTAACAGCTTAGACTAACACCGTCGAATTATGAAATGAATATTGAATAATGAATTGTGAAGGAAGCAGTCGTAACCCACTTGAAGGTATGAGGGGGAGTAGTAAATAGGTCAGAAATGGAACTAAAACAGCTGTAACTGACGTAATGGGTTTTATATGTGTATCACTAGGTAGCAGCACAGTCCAGCTTCATGACAGTCTAGGTAGCAGACGCGCATGCGCAAGTTCATAGGCTGGTTTCTGTGGTAAAACGGCGACCATGTTAGACTGTGTACTACCGATGAGCAGCGATCTTTTGTGGGCAAAAGGACTCAATATAAAGAATATTCATAAAGAATTTTTTATGTTTATGGTGTAAGTGTTTGTCGCATAAAGCTGTTCACAACTGGGTCGAGAAATTCTCTCAAGGACTTTCGAAAGTCACAGATGACGAAACGCATGTGCGGAAGTGTCTGAGACAACAGTCAAAGACTTACATGTTGCGGGTTTCGACACACTGGTGAAGCGATGGGACAAGATGATCAATGTTGATGGAGAATATGTCGAGAAATAAATGTTTTCTTCCAGGTTCGAGTATCACATGTTTTACATTTTATATCCATTTGTGGCCTATTTACTGACTCTCCCTCGTACTGTCCCGGAATTTCCTGGAGGGAGTAGGGAAACCCACAACCCTCGGACAGAACCACACTTGAAGCCGGAACCTTCCAAATGAGAAGCAGGAATTCTGCCCATTTTGTCAGGTTTTTGTTATACGTTACTTGCTGAAGCTAGGTACACAAATATTTGTTTCTGTCCTGAAGATGGAAGCAGCATTCTCCTTCAAGAAGATGGTACAAATATATCACAAAAAGATAATAATCATAACAGCTACTACTGTACGCCCCTCAGTTCTCAGAGACATGATGAAGTTGGCGGTGCCTAGTACTACTGCTTGTGTCAGCTCAACATTGCCACAAAATGTGCTTCAGGGACGCGCTGCTGACCAGTGTCATCAATTCCTGCACCAGTTTCGTCGCAGGATTCGTCATCTTCTCCGTGCTAGGCTACATGGCTCACACTTCCGGGCGACCCATCCAGGAAGTGGCCACCGAAGGCCCAGGACTCGTGTTCATCGTGTACCCAGCCGCAATAGCCACGATGCCTGGCTCCATCTTCTGGGCCCTCATCTTCTTCATGATGCTGCTGACGCTCGGGCTCGACAGCTCGGTCGGTAAACCATCCAGTAATTTTAAAGCTTGAAAGGATTCTGACGATGATATATGCTGTACAGAACTATTAGGCTTCTTTTGGACTCTATCCATCGTCTGGTATAAAGAAGACAAAGACCACAACGTTTCGGAGACTATATCTGTCTCCGTCCTCAGGTGGATGGGGCAGGACCCAGTGATTGAGACTAGCTATTTCTAACGGGCCCAACTGAGTCGGTCTATCCTGCCCCATCCACCTGAGGACGGAGACAGATCCAGTCTCCGAAACGTTGTGGTTTTTTGTCTTTTATATACCAGACGATGGATAGAGTCCAAAATAAGGCTAATAGTTCTGTATAATTTTAAATCTGTTCATTTTTGTTTCACTGAGTAGAATCCTCCTTTCAGATCCTAATAAATTTGTGCGAAACCTGAAAATACGTTACCAGACTCTGACCTTAGCCAACTGAATCCAGTCCATACAATCAAGAACTTTAATTGAATTAATGATGGTTATGTTAATGAAAATGGGGCTTGAAAACTTTTATATGGCTTCCTTCCGGGTTTTAGGGCCGTGTAGTCTGGTAGGTGGATTCCAACCAAAATCCCTTATCGTGTGTTCACTGTCTTAAACGGGATTCTGATTCCTGAGTTTCTGAACGCAGCCACGGACGTAACGAGTAACTTTCTGGCGCCACAGTTACCCGTGATGGGTGCCCGGTGTGAGGGCTTCAGTGGGAGCCGTGAGAGAGGAGAATGGAGAAAATTTCATAATGAATAACTTCATAACTTCTGTTCTGGACCGAATATTAACAGAGGAAATGCCCAGAAGGGAAGAGACAATTTGCGGAGGCTAGTCATATTTGCGAACTGAGCCCTTCTCGAGAAACCGTCAACTGTGCAGCTACTCAAGAACGTCACAGCATTTTATGGAAACCGAAAGTTCATTACCGTGTTCACAAAAGCCCTCCACTGGTCCTACCCTCAGCAAAATCGAACCAGTCCATACCACCCCATCTCTAAGATACATTTTAATGTTATCCATCCACCACATCCATCCACAGTATCCTATATGCACTCCTCTCCCCATTCGTGCTACATGCCTTGTTCATCTCATCCTCCTTGACTTAATCATTGACCATGTTATGTGTGCCCATTGTCACCACGGCATGGCGCGGACTCAGGTTGCGGAGGGAGGAGACGCCCTCCAGATATGGAGGGTAGCTGTGAATATATTGAATAACCAGTCGCGGACGGCCGACAAGGGTTGATCCTCCAGCTTGGGGGTTGGGCGTGGAGCTAACAACTTCTCGCCATAAAAGAATAAGCTTGTTACGAAAAGTCACAAAGGGTCATACTTGAGAGTATGATATTAAAGTGGAGCTTAAGGAAATTGGGCGTGGACTGGATTCCACTGGCTGAGGATAGGGTTCAGTGGCGGGCTCTTGTGTAGCGTCTAGCAGAAAATTTCTTGACCAACTTAGCAATTGTCAGGTTTTTGAGACTGTTTGTGCCGGTTGGACAGCACACGCTAAGAGGTTAACTTGTGCAGTTCGGCGGTTCGGAAGCCATCATCACGGCCCTGAGTGACGAGTATCCAGTTATCGGCAAGAACCGGGAGATATTCGTGGCCTGTCTCTTCACGCTGTACTTCATGGTCGGACTGGCCTCCTGTTCCCAGGTAACACTTGTCGGTGACATTACCCGTCGCTTTCCTGATACCGAGGGTGCCTCCCACTGACCTTGAACTTGGCTCTGTCTGCAGGGAGGTTTCTACTTCTTCCACCTGCTGGACCGCTACGCCGCGGGCTACTCCATGCTGTTCGCCGTGCTCTTCGAGACAATCGCCGTGTCCTGGATATACGGTGCGTGCCACGCACACCGGGGCTCCTTCATGAGGACCTGATGATCGCTCACCTAGCCTAGAACTGGACAGTTTCCGAGCCAGATCTCTCCCAAGCCACCTTATTTTTCATTTATACCAATTCTAGCATGAGGCAGCCGGGATAGCGTAGTCAGTACAGTGACTGGCTACGGGCTGCATGACCGAGGGGTCGTGTCCAAGTAGGGACAAGAATTTCCTCTTTTCCACGTCGTCCTTACCGGCTCTGGGGCCCACCCAGCCTCCTATCCAATGGGTACCGGGGGCTCTTTCCCCTGGAATAAAGCAACCGGGGCGTGAAACTGACCACTCACCTCCAGCTAGTGCCGAGGTCAAGAAAATATGGATCTATATATCCACTCCCCTATACGCCTTCAAGGCGTAGTGCTTAGTTAATTAAGCACAGGAAAAACTTCACCTTTTTACCAGTTTTAGCATGATGGAGAGTCAGTAAATAGGCCACAAATGGATATAGAAAGCTTACTAGACTGTCATAGAGCTGGACTGTGCTGCTAGAAAACTGATTACGTCCATTACAGCTGTTTTACTTCCATTTGTGACTTATTCATTCACTCTTCTTCGTATTTTGTGAATCTCCGCCTAGATCTCCCATACGGTTTGTTCCCTGCAGGGTTGCCTACGAAAGCTGAAAAATCATTTCTCTCCTCCATGCGTGTTACATGCCCCGCCCCTCTTATCCAACATTTTTTTATCGTCCCCACAATCGGAAGACCCTTTCCCCCCATCCTCCAGTCACTTCGCCCCGCTTAGCTCCAAATACAGTATGCGCCAAAAACTGCACTACTGAAACTCGCACATCTCGAATGCACATGTGCGTTTGTCGACGGGGCACAGCTCCAGCCGCACGTGTTCCCAGTAGTGAAAAGGAAGTTGTGTTGTGCAGTTGTTGGAAATGTGTCTCTCGACGGAGGAAAAAGTATTTATAGTTGAGTATTATTTCCGCTCATACGGAAGTGGTCGCCAGACAACTCGCTTCCTTGGTTTTGAGTGGCCAGGTATTATCGCCCAGAAACCGCTACATGGTACACGTGTGACGGTATGGTGTGCCGTCTCAGCACACGGTATATTAGGCCCCTGTTTCATTGAGGATGAGGCAGGCGATGCTCTCACCGCCACCCAAGAACGCTACAGAGACATGGTGATCGGACCATTTCTTCAGGATTTGAGAAGGTTCTCTCGCGCAAGGGGCCTTCACATGAATAGACAGTGGTATCAGCAGGACGTCTTTTCATTTCAGTACTGAATCTTTTGGCGCATACTGTACTTTCCCCGGCTCTCTTTCCCCCCCCCCCCAAATTTCAGTGATGAATGTATGTGTGTACAGAACGGGCAGACAATGACTTCTGGCATTTAACGCATAATCGGACCCAAATACTTGCTCGTGTTCTCCCCCGGTAGATGGTAAATATGACACTCTTACACGAACTTCTGAGGTGGGTTTTGTTCCGGTGTACGCGTATAAATCATTCCTATGCCGGATTTCATGTTCTCATAGCGGTTACTATGAACAGTACTATAACCGTGTAGTCTGGTACAAGTTCAGTGAAGTTTCGGAGGAAAGTATTACATCCATCTTCAGGGTCAAATAATGAGCTAAGCAACCGGTAAAAAGGAAACTCGCTGTTATCTGAAACAATGTTTGCTTCTGCGTAAGAGAGCTGTTGCCTTTAAGATTTCTCTGTAAGGACCGACAAACCTACCGTCGATCTTCATTTGAGTCTCTGCTCTGGTTGATGCAGGTACCCAGCGGTTCTGTGACGACATTCGTGATATGATTGGCTTCTCCCCAGGCATCTATTGGCGCGTATGTTGGCGATTTGTCGCTCCTGCTTTCCTGATGGTAAGTACACAAGATTCAGATAGTAGTAACTCATATTTTTCTCACGCTTAAGGAGGACAACCGTTAGAACGAAGAACAAACACATTGCAAATTTCTTCCATTACATAGAAGAAATACATAGATTGTCAACACTCTACCATCAAAGCATGGTCGGACACAATAACAGATTAGCTGCAGAAATTAGCAACCCACCAAATGAAAGAAGTTTGAGAAGCCAGTGGCTGTCTGACCTACCGCAACCCGCAAATGACGAAGATTAAAACCATCACCACTCCTCTACAGGGCCTGTCAAAGTATCATCAGTGGATGCCTTCTCCACTCAAGACACCTACTTAGAACAAATTTACTTATTACTTCATATTATCGAGAGTAGGTTGTAAATATGCTATTAATCAAACAAAAAATTGCAAGTTACTTGTCGATTTAGAGTGTCATGGAAGGTAAGAAGGTAAAGTTGTCCCTGCACCTCATTAATTAAGTACCACGCCACGAAGATGTATGAGAGAGAGGAGGTATATCTTCACGCATTCTCAATCTAGGCACTAGATTGATGTGAGTGGTCAGCTTCACGCCACTGTCTCTTTGTCCCCGCGGAAATAGATCCCGGTACACGCTGGAAAAGAGACCTCGTGGGCCCGGAAACAGTCTGGACGCTGTAGTGAAGAGAAAAATATCTTGCTTCAGCAAGGAACCGAACCCTGGTTCATCGGTTGTCTCTCACTTAGTCTCTATAGTGGCAGAGACTACCGGATCCTCAGGAAGACGGATACTACGAAACTTGCTAGATCAGTCTTCAGGGACTTTTCGTTCCTGTAGAGTGCGCGTAAAGATATACGTGTAATTCGTCCTTCGTCCATACCCATGACACAATTGAACGGATTTTCATGGAACTTGGTATTGTGAAGTTTAATAAAATTTGCTGACATATTACAATTTTAATTAAAATCTGACAACAGTACCAGACACTTCACACGAAAACCTACAGGAGTTTTTGAGCGCATCTCGAACGTAACTCCATAAATATTTATCAGAATGACACATGTTTCAGATAAAAGTTGTAGAGAGAATGAACCACAAATTTGATATCCAATATATCCCCCCCAAGTACTATTGTTTTCGAGACCTCAACAAAATTGAGTGAATGCGCAGTCTGGTAAATACATACTAACTTTTCGGAGTAACATGCTGCCTCCTCCATCAGGGTATATGATGGAAGCAAGCAGTTATTCTGAAGAGTTATTAAATACATAGTTGGACAAACAGCGTCGCATTCAAGAAGTCTGCAACATTAACAGTCCTCTTCATGACTGTCTCAAATTTTATACATTTTTCCGAACTAGAATATTCATCAACCAACGGTGGTCTCCCGAACACACCTGAAGATTAGCGAAGTCTCTTGGTGATAATTAAACAAAGTTCACTCTGACCCGAATTTATAGGCCTGCATGTATTCAAATCCTTTCCTACACAGTGTCCCAGGAGGAATGGTCAGTATTCTGAGAGGTCATAGTATCAGTCATTCTAAGCAGAAAAGTGTATATGTATGTATGTATGTATGTATGTATGTATGTATGTATGTATGTATGTTCTATTCCAAACAGTTTCCGAGATAGAGCTATTTCACTCTGCTGTACAATGTACAGACGAGCAACACGCCATGTCCTCACACAAGTTGCACTGAGATAGAGCTATTTCACTGTACACTGTACAGACGAGCAACACGCCATGTCCTCACACGAGTTGCACCGAGATAGAGCTATTTCACTGTACAGTACACTGTACAGACGAGCAACACGCGATGTCCTCACACGAGTTGCGAAGTGCATTGATGTCAACAGTGGAATTTTCGAAAATATATTACACTAGGTAAACTGTACTAACTTTGTCATTTGAACAATAAATACTGGTACTAGAAACGGTACGTAGTAACTCTTTCTTATCAACAATTTTGGAACTGTGCAGTGAAATAACTCTATCTCAGAAACCGTTCGGAATAGGACACATGCACATACACACTTTTGCTTAGAATGACCGATAATATGACCTCCCAGAATACTGACCTTTCCTCCTGGGGCACTCTGAATACATAACAAAAATTGTAAGGCCGAGATTTGCCATTGTCATTATACAGCTTCAGATTACCATAACGAATTGTTGAGTGTTAGCATATTGCATGGGTGTAAGTTATTTAGTAGGTCACGAACGGGGAAGTCGTCTTTTGGTTTTGTGTATCATGTCTATTCTGTTATTATTGATATTTACATACGGATATGTGAAGTGTAGTATAATACATAAAGGAGTGGGAGATGGCCTTACAGGTCGACCTCGACATATCATTCGATAACATATATGACTAGAAAGAAATTAGGAGAGCACAGATGGGTTAATAGCATGAACACTTGCATGGAAAATGATGATATTTGCTGCTGAATTCTTAGTCAGCACTCTACTAGGTGCATATATTTAATTCAATTATTATTGACTGTTCTGTTGTTGACAAAACTTTTATCAACATTTATTTTTTTTAGATAAATATGCAACAGTTAGAATAGTTATGAGATGCATATACTTCCTAACTTCTTTCTTGCAACATCTTACGTGGTCCATGCCGAAAGTATTGTTCTCATCTCACAGACTCACAAGAGAAATATTAATATAGGAAGTTGGTCCAACTTGTAACTCTTGTAATTTGTACCTGGGAGATGTCCCTTTCAAATCTCGGTCAGGATACCAACTGTTCTAAGATCTTTCTTGGTATTCCTCAGTATTTTCCAGCAAATACAACAATAGTACTGCAAATTAGGCCATGTCCACTTCCTTCCAGATACTTTCAATTCATTATTCACTCATTGCTGCATAATCTGAGATACTGACTGACAAACAACTATTACATCGAAACATCTCTTGTGTTCTCAGTTCATCATAGTGTATGGGCTGATAGGCTACGAGCCTCTGACATATGAGGAATATGTGTACCCGGTGTGGGCCAATATTCTGGGCTGGGTTATTGCAGGTTCGAGCATTGCCATGATTCCAGGGATGGCCATTTATAAACTGGCCACAACACCCGGCACACTTATGCAGGTGAGTGAGTTGTCCCCAACATTAGATCCCACTTCATCTAATATTAGGTCACTTAACTGATCTCTTTCCTTCAGCTTTTCTGAAACATTTCTCATCTCTCCCATTCGTGCTGCATGTCAACCCATCTCATTCAATCTCCTTGATCCGCTTATGCTAATACTATACATTGGGTGAAGAGCATAAATTATGAAGCTCCTCATTATGGAGTTTCCTCCATTGTCCTGTTACTTCATCCCCCTTGGATCTAAATATTCCCCTTGAGTATCCTGTTCTCTAACATCCTCAGTCTGTTGCATTCTTCCCTTAATGTCAGAGATGAAGTTTCACACCCACACAGGAAGTAAGGTTACAGTTCTACGTATTTCAACATGTACGTTTTTTGGTATCAGGCATGAAGATAAAATATTCTGATCTTGAATATTGGAAGACATTTAATGAATCTAATCTGCCATAATCTCCTCAGGAATATCACATTATTTTTACTAACCTATCATAATATTTTAACTTCGCCACACTTCTGAAGGATTTGCTACCTACATTTATATTATGATCTTGTCCTGCGTTCTGATGTCAAGACATGGATGTGCACCATACACTGCTTGCAGACATTTTGTGCAGATTATGAAATGCCTTCGTCCTTTATGTAAACTCTGATTTTTATATATGTTAGGCCCAAACATACTATTCAGATTTTGTTTTGAGATTCAGTAAATATGTATGCCTTTCTTTCACTGAAATTCCAAGTACAAAACAGAACATAAAATTACCACTGCAGTCTTTTAAAAGCAGATAATATGCTTATTCACATATATATGTGTGTGTGTGTGTGTACATATATATATATATATACACAAGGGCACGCGGTAGCGTAGTGGTTAAGGCACTATGCCGCAAGTCAGAAGGTCGCGGGT